TAAAATAATGCCCATTTCCAAAGTGCTACGAATTAAACAGGCTAATGCGTCCACAGAGCCGATACACAACACCCGAAATAAACATTTGATATAGATTTGGGGCCACGCCTTCCATTTAACTGTCGGATGAAGCGAATATTCATTGTCCTGAAATGAAATAAAAACAATAGCTTTAGAAACTCGTTTTTTGAAATTTGTCAAACTCCTTTTCAGGTAGCAGTGTAACCATTCCCATTGTGGGAGTCTCGCTGGCTCAGTAAGACGTTGGTCTGCTTTCTCGATGTTCTGTGGTCGATCTCGGTGTTGGCCGAGGATGTTCATCGAGATTTTCTCGCGTGGTTCCCCCTTATCAGTGATTTAGGGCAGAGGGTCTGGCAAGGGACAGCGCATAGTCGTTCGGGTGGGACGTCAAACAGAGGTCCCGTGTACACATGGGTGTGCACGTAAAAGAACCCTTGACAGATAGAAATTGAAATAACAGTAGACCATAGTGCAGCTGTTCGCGCAAAATTTCCCTCATAGAATACTGTATGGCGCATATGACCGTCTTCATTAGCCCAGTCGGAGCAGAACAGTAGGACGTTAAACCCAAATTCATTTCATTTAATCTCCAAATTGAACTACACATGTACTGTCAGAGAGTACAAGAGATCGCAATATATCTTTCTTCACATGATAGAATCGTTGTTTCTGGATGTTTGTACCGCAGAAGATAATATCCTTGATTTTGATAATTTTCTTAATGTTGACTATGTGTACTTCATTCTGGTCACGACTCTTTCTCTGGCCGTAATAGATAATAAAACCATTGTACCCGTTACCTAGTATTGGACACTCCTTTACTAAAAGTACAATTTTATTTGTTTATTTGGATTATTCCCATTATTGTTAGACATCGTAACCGACATTAAGTGACGTCGTCATGCCTACAAGGCGATACAAACATAGGCTAGATTGCTTCACCAGACAAGTTGTCATGGTGAAAATAAATATTTTTGATAGGCATTATAAAGTATGAAAACACAAAATATATACATGTACAGATTGTTACAAAAGATGTAGAGCAATATAAAACGCCGACATCGCGTCACGTATCACACCAGTATTCTCTACGCTGTTAAACAAAAGCCTTCCATTTGAAGCCAACGGAATATTTAGTTGAATCAATAAACAAATGCAAGAATTATGTTAACTTAGAAACTGTTCAAGACATTTTTATATTTACAGATTAAGTTTGTTTCAGTAAGTTTACAGGGGTGTTTGTTTCATCAAAACATAGTCTTTAAGAAAAGTATTTTTATATAACAGATTTGATGAACTGTTAAATATTCTATTTCATTTCGTTAAAGGAAAGGTTAAGTCCACATAAATCAAAAGTTCCAAATCCAAACGTAAAGTGAATTCGGGTATATTTGTTGTGTAAACCTTCAATATAATAATATTCCCCTCACAGATGAATTACGATGCACTTGTTATTAAAGGTTATTAAAGATGTATTATGTAAGAACCAGCTAAATCCAGCTAAATCTGTCCATTGCAGGTTTACGGGTGGGTGGGGCTTCAAATATTATATAAATTATTCACATGACACGCCCATAATCGACTTTCCAGAGTATCGGGTGGTCATGACTTTGTATGGATTAATACAAAATCGCCACTTGATAATTTAATGTAAAATTATAATCTTCCGACTGTTTAAATGAATACAAATATTTCTTATATTTGCTACTACGATTAAAAGACTGGTTGCGCGAACACTGTGTACATTCAACTCTTCTTAGTAGAGTTTGCCCATGTCTATGTAAGAGGAAGACGCGTAATATATTTTCAGTGATTTCCAACTGTAACCAAAGCTTGAATTTTTTGCTTATACCTCATAATACAAATGGCAATAATGACCAAATTTTCCGTTTTGATCCGGACAACGAAGCTGCTTAGGGTAATCTTCGTTGCTTTGCAACTTATGTATACATATTTAAAAAGATCTAATTTCACACGATTTGTTGACACATAACTTCAATAATGCAAGTTTGTCGATTGAAGTGACAATGACATAAAGTAAAGAAATCCGAGTGGCCTTCTGAATAAATTCATTATTTGCATTGATGATTTTAAATGTGTATGAAATGACTCACACAAAATGTAAACGAAATAGTTTAATCTGCTAGTATCTGATATTATCTGTAGGATAAAAATCGTATATTGATTAACAGTTCTGTTGATATTTATATCTTCTGATTCGTTTCAGTAAATCTACTATAAAATGTAAATGAAATTGAAAGCTACAGATATAAATGAAAACAGTTTCATAAAATCCCGTTGCCATAAATATAAATTACAAAACGTTTTCCCAATTCAGATCAGTTTCAACAACATCCAGAAAATAAGAAAAATAAAAAAACACAACACGATTTATATGGAAATCAATCACTGATTTATACACATACATATTATATAGCACGACGCTTGGACAGTTATTCTCTTATCGTTTTCAAGCACAAATCTGTATATAAACCAGTGTTTGTCTTCCATATAAATTGTGTTGTGTTTTTTAATGTGCTCAATAGCTAATTAATGTCACTCAAGGATTATCTTCAGAAATTAATTTTCTATAGAAAATAATTGGGTTATGGTCTTACAGTACCCCAACGGGCTGATGAAGTGGAGTGATATAAGCCCCCCCCCCCCCGCCCCCCGCGAAGAACTTTCCAGCACTTGGACCTCCTGGTTTGTGCCTCGGCGCTTTACTCCTCGAGCTGACATGCCAACCACCCCGCTCCGCCCCATGCAGTAATTACATAGTAACCGAACCTGTTATACCGTTTAAATGATGTAATAAATCCGCGGAACGGGCGGGTTCAATGGAGGGGAGATAACTGTCTTGAAAAACACAAAATACATGTATGACATTAGATCACGTTTGCTTTACATACTGCGAATGATTAGAAATGTTTCTATGGAAAGTGCTGTCTAGCACCTGTGAAACAGATAGAATAAATAAATGGACATAATCCATTCCTTGTGTGTAAAATAAATCACAGATGGGTCATATTATTATCCCTAAAGTAAAGAGTTGTAGTAATCGTGTAATTAAGTAAAAAAAATAAAAATAAAATGAATATATCTATTTAAAACACATTAAGATGACGGTGTGAATTCAATAGATTAATCGAACTGAATAGCAGTAGTTTTCAGAGCATAGACCTATTGTTTCAAATTCTATATATCTAACCTTTATTCTGACACGTTAGAGCTTTTACTTGGCATGTAGACATTAAACTTGTTTCATTGTACTCGTTTCAACAATGGGTTGAGTTCCCTTTTATTGGTTAATTACACGTGGGTTAACTATTTATCACCGAGGAAATCAACACGAGGCAATAATCGACCAGTTAACCGTCATAATGGACGCTGGTAACTAACTCGAATTGTTTTGATTTAGAAACAACATCGATTTATCGATTAGAATAAAGGAGGTTTTATCATAATAAGCATATAACTGAACCAGTTATTATAAAACGGTTATAATGACAAAATGATATATACCTCGATACAAAGGAATAATCGACATCTAAATGAATGGTAAATGAGAAGTAGTCCTCTATGAACACTTCAAACATCAATTCTTAGCCCTATTTACTCAGAATAGCAGGAAATAATTTTCAAGTATCTGAATGTGTTTATTATTTTGTTACAGTTGAATCTTTCCGTTTCTTCACTACATGAAATTAAATTATTAATATTTCAAAAAGAATTCGTGAGGTTTACTGGTATATTCGGATGCGCTTTAAATTTGAAACATAATGATGAATGACACGCAAATCACCAGTGGCTCTATATTGGTATATGGACGCCTGCAAATTGTCAAAAAAAAGTCAACCATAATCGGGCTTATGACAGAAAATCAGCATTAAGGCCCAAATTGGTCACCAGTTTTACTATGTCTAGCCGTTCCGATGTGACGAAAACCCGAGGTTCCGTGTACACATTGGCGTGCACGTAAAAATCCCTTGCCAGTTGGAATTCGATATAAGAGTAGGCCATAGTGCCGCTGCCCGGACAAAATTTCCCTCATAGCACACAAAATTTCCCTCATAGCACACTGCATGGCGTATGCCCGACTTCATTAAGGCAGAACAGTAGGACGTTAAACCCCATTTCATTCATTACTTTGTCAAAAATAAACCAGTTGATGACACAGATGAATAAACTGGAGGCGATTGAATTGGATACGGAACATGTCTTGTAATTTCCAGGTCATTAGTTGTGACGCAACTAATTACATTATAAATAGATGGGTGTAAATTATACATAAATCATTCAGTTGCCTGCAGATTTCGAGCATTAAAAAATCCTTCGAGATGTAAATTGTTCTTAAAAACAAATGGAAAAGGTTGAGACCTTGCATGATCTTTGAGATTTTATCTGTGAAAAGTGGAACATGAACAGGGGGGTGGGGCTGACTGGTTTCCATGGTTTAATATGTTTTATATGTTGTGCCATATACATCTATTTATCTATCATACTGACATATACAAATTGTATTTGTGTGAGTGTGACGGAAAATAACCAGAATATGACCCCTTTTCATTGTTGATGCGGCCAGGGGCCCAATGCAATCTTAATCCGGCCCTGATGAAAAGACGAACTACATTCGTCTCTCTTAGTCTATACATAGGATTAAGTTATTGTTGTTAATATTTATCATCCAAAACTGTCATTGTTTGCGACACCACTTTGGTGTAAGCGGACGTTAAATAGTGCGATTTCACGTTCACGCGCCAAAGATCACCGTAAGTTCATCAAAGGGTCACTATTTTTTTTTTAAATCCCAAAGATCATAGCGCCATTATTATGCATACTCTTAGCAAAATAAAAGCTGTCTTTATAATGTTTTAGGATACTTTACTAATGTATATTTGAAAGCTATAGCATATAAGTGAGAGCAGTTTGGCAATTGCACAATGTTACGCAAATTATGTTTAATTGGAACAACTAAAAACAATTATCATATTTAATATAACAATATATACATAAGTACTCATTTCATATACAAATACAAGTTATTTAATATCCATTTTTCTCCTTTGGTTTAATATGTCATTTCTATTTCTACTGTCAATATTGTATAAGCAATTCTTCTAACTCGGTTAAAGATGCATTATGCATTTACATTAGTAAACAAAGTCTCGATTATCCATTATTATATTCCCGTCCTCATTAGCCCAGTAGGACGTTAAATCCCATTTCATTTTATTTTTTAATTAAATTATTAAACGACGATCTTGTTTCAATCCGCGAGCATCCGATGGCCACGATAGTAGATTATTGTCTTGTCGTGTCTGATTTATAATTTATATAACATTTGAGACAAAAAGAAAGACCTGTTATAGGTAGATTTAGCGAGCTCTTGCGTAATGCGTCTTTAATCTACACCCAAATGTCGGTGTTTTAACTAAAACATGTGAACTGAAATCAACGCCAACTCACAACGTAGCGTCAAACTCGTCTATATTCATTTTGATTACCCTTGTGCCTATAAATGCAAATGAGGGCTGTATGTTTTGCTGTTTCCATCTATAAAATGCACAACATGACACTCATGAGATATAAAACTAGATTTTAAAGATCATAAACTTTAGTGATAACGAAGCGTCATATTTACTACTTATATCGAGTAATGAGCGATAACTTTATTTAATGATGACGGTGATGATGATGATGATGATGATGTGTTAGTAGTAATGTACGATGTTTTGCTACACTAATGATGATAACCGACTTGCGTTGATGTCCTCTGGTGTTTGGTTTTCGTTCAAATTATCCACTCGATGCTGACTTAACCATTCTTCTATATGTCTGAAAAAAGCGAGAACAGTTTTCAGTGTACCTGCAGGTTTGATCAAACTCAATCTGGTTAAGACACAGATCTTATTTCGTTTCGTTTTTTATAGTTCAAAATTTCGTTTTACTTGTCTTTACTACACTAGGATCTGGAAGAGTTGTTATCATTGACATGTACTGGGTGATGTGAGGGATTAGGCAATGAAACGGTCTGTTACGGTGAGCTTTTGGCGTGAGGTGCACGGAACTGTGGGTAATCCACTAGAAACATGATTGGTTAATCAAATGTCTGACGTCATTGGGTCAAAATCCGCTCGTATGACTTCTGACGCGACCCCACAAGCCAACTGGACAGATAGATCTTCGTGTAGTGTAGGCCAACGAAAGAATAAAAAAACGAAACGAAATATTTTAATTGGATCAAACTATAAACTTACAGTGTGTTACCCTCAAGATTACCGTGGTATTGTATTGATGAGACGTTAAATTCCATTGAAAGGAAATTTACCCGTCTATCATTCTGATGTTTAGAAAATATATGCTTGTTCGTACTCCAATCAATATCAAATTTGTTTTTGAATACACATTCTACATATTCATCTACGATCATCTGATGTTATGTGCACAGTGCATACTATGACACATTGATGTAATATGCGTTAAAATCAATATTTAACACGTTTTATAGCTAGATATAATATAACACTGAGATAGTATTAAATACACGTATCCTTTCAAATCAGCGATGTTCGAAATTTTAAAAGTTTTTAATTTACAATAGCAACTCGTTGATTTAATTGCACGGCTGTGCAAATATAGTCTCTATATGATCTTTACTGAAAGAGGCTGTATCACTTTCATCAATAATTTAAAGTAGCCAAGTCTGACCTCAGTATCACCCGCAGTCTTCGACATTGCAAACATTGCTGTTGTTAGCTTACCGCGAAAAGATGGGCTTCTGGTATCCAATATTATTTAAGACACAAGAAAAAATTAAACTTGGCACACTAATCGTGTGCCAGAATGCTTTCGGACGTCATTTGTAATGAGCGACTCGGTGAACGAGGCAAAACATACCCCGCAGGAGAATACTACTGGTGTCGACTAGAATAACAGGACGCCAAAGACTGTTATTTAATTTGGATTCTTCGCGTATTTCACCGAACATAACAGATTAGTAATTACAGTTAAACAAAAACGACTGAATGTAATATATATACATTCATATATACAATATTATATTCCTTGCGACCCATTTGTGTCCATTTCTCGGTGCCAAAGAATAGCGATTTTGGTCCTTTAACTCTTCTAAAAGCGAAGCATTAACCTATTTAGACTACCAGCATTCTTTAACCCCCTTTTGGACATTTTGTACTACTCGTTAATTGATCGAATCTGAATATTCCAACGATAACTTGCTTGATTTGTCTGAAGTTTGCATACAATCAAATATCAATTCATGTTTCATTTAGCCTAGGTGGTTTGTAAACGTGTCGGATCTATAGAAACATATGTGCTAATATTTACAATTATATTCCTCTGTGCCTGTTTCAAAAGAATGTTCCATTTAATAGGTGCTGGATAAATTGGTGCCAATATAATGAATGAATAAATGAATGAATGAAATGGGGCCTAACTGGCTACTTGTCTGCTCCAGTCGTGACAATGAAGACAGACATACGCCGTACCGTGTGCTAGGGACAAACTTTACTTGGATAACAATCGAATTCTGACTGTCGAGGGTTCTTTTACGCGCATGCCAAGATGTACTACACTGGTCCTCAATTTTTCGTCCCATCCGAACGACTAAACGATGTTCCTTGCCTGGCCCTCTTTCCTACACCGCTTGCAAGGGGAATCACACTGGAAAATTCCTGGGAACATTCTCGGGCAACATCGGGATCGAACGCAGGATCGCCTGGTTACTGAGCCTGTGCCTTGCTCACTAAGCCATCGTGGCCTCTTGATGCCAATATAAGTAAGTAATGTGAAAAATATTTAATATTTGTTTCCCAATAGTATATGCTACTCTACTAACCTGTTAGTTGATATAATAGGCATAGGACCAGAACTTTCACTGTACCATGGAAACACTTTAGATTTACTCGTATTACACGTATAAGTTGGATGACAATAATCATCATCATCATCATAAATGTTTTTATCATTATTTAACTTATTACTGGAACATTGTCTAAAATTACGCCTAGTTCTACTCTTAAGCTTTGTCACCCGAAGTTTTCTTTTTAATTGACCCCGTAAATATGTAGAAAGTATTAAAAGGAAGAATCCGAGAAATGTAAGAGTAATACCGAACACTTCCATAATACTAGTTATTTCATGTTCCAGGGCTCCCTCGAAGGCTAAAACAGCCAAAATAATTCCAATGTGTATAGCGAACAGTCCAAGTAGCGCTACATACGCCCATGTTTCTCTTTGAATTTTGAAGAGCAAATCGGACATTTTGATCATTCGGTGCTGCTGAGTTATAACAAGAATAGCCGAAATGAGGGTCCTTAAATTCTACTTAATCACATATCTTCAACAATCTGTTGGTGTCACACAGGTTAACATTCGGAATTTTTACACAAACGCGTTTCTGTTTCTTCTGAATAGCACTAAGATTCACCTAGGTGGCCCTCTTTAATTATTAATTCGTCAATCTAACCTAACACACGAACTAAATTAACTTCTTCCACTGTAACAGGAGTTTTTCTTCTTTTTTCGTTAGGCCTTTTTTACCTAAATCCTTTTACATTGGTGTAAGCAAGAAATATCGGTCGTCAAATAAACAGTACCTGCATACAGTTGCTTCTATTCCTGTGTGTTTTTATCAGCACTGTTCCTGCATTCACCCTTATCAAAACAGACACGATTCTATTCGCGATTATTATTTGTAATGCAATCGGCAGATTGAATAATATTTGATCTAACCCACGTGCCTATGAATATATTTCTTAATTACTTTAACTGGTGCCGTCTGCAACATCAAATTTAGGAATCACCGTTGTTACACTGACTTATAAAATTGCAAACATACTCCTAACACAAGATGGCGAATCTCTTTAAAATTTATGATATATATGTCTCCTTTAGTTTTCAGTTATTCAGCAACACAGACCACAGGGTTTCCACTTTGTTATGTTGCCAGGAAAACGTTATTAAAAATCGCTGAGACTAAATCTGTCATTATTGTCTTACCAACCCTATTGGTTTAGTTAATGCTGTAGCTGGATTGCCATACTGAAATTACATAGACAAAACACATTGAAAGCTATCCAAAACATTTTTCAGTTTTATAGTTGCTGCGGTTAGTACTCGTTGTGTTTATTTAATCGAGTTTTCATGTGAGTAAACAAACACTATTGATATATCTACCTTGATTATAAATTAATATGGACGAAGTTTTAGTGGTGTACTGTACTTGATAACATTATATGGCCGTTTTTTCTTATTAATATGTGATTGAATTATTAGTGTGACGGATACAACTCAATGGCATTGTTATAGGAATTTACTATTTTTATATAGTCGAAAGTTGTATTATAGGAAGTGTCCAGCAACAATGATATGTACTAAAGAGACAATTTACCGAGACATTTTCCAGTATTTCTGTGAAAACGTGATCAGAACTCCTTAGTTTTAAATTGTGTGATTCGACTTACCCCCTTCCCCCGTCGCTGCCCCTCATTAATTAACAGTATAAAAATCCATTATCATTTTGTTTCTATGGAACGCGTCAATCTGAGCTATTTTGGTTGGTGTGCATGTTATAATATTCTGGTTCAGATGTGTGCCACCATTGACATCCCGATTATTTAAAAAAAAACATCTCGGAGAACGCCCCCCCCCCCCACCCCGTCTCTTCTCGCCCCAAATACCATGATCCGTCACTGGCTAAGGACTGCTTTAGATTCTGTACTATTCCATTAATGGTATATTTACCTTGTCTAATGTGATTAATATCGATATTGTCCCTCGCCATCATTAACATCCACCAAAATCCCATGGCATTCTGAAACAAAATATAAAAGGGTTATGATAATACTTCACACGGGTTAGTTATATTGTTCTAATGAATTATTTATGATTTGTACTTCATTTGTTGTAAACGAATGGGGTAAGAACTACAAAATAGTATCTCTTTGTGGCGGATAAATTCAGATTGCACTATAAGTGGCTAATATCCAGTACTACATCCAACTCGGCACAATTTTCACGCCTTGAATGCCTTTGAGTCACTTCTACTAGCCAGCAGTTAAATTTTTCATAGATGTGTATTTCAGTTGGCCATAGCTGGAAATCTCAAGATGTCTTGATAATATAAACTTTTGTTTGCAGTTGTTCTGACCAATCTCAAGATTAAAACATCTCAGGGCATATGTTGCACACAAGTCGAAACAACAGAACTGAACAGTCGGAAGAGCATATTATTATTCGACAAATACATTAACTGTGTTGGGTTCCTGTATGAAAGAAGACTTACAGAGCGTACATTAAGATTGTTTCATAAACCACAAGATACAGATTAGATATCAATATTTCAGTAGCATTGTCCTATTCAATACATCTAATCTTTTCTATTTTTTTGACAGGTGATGCTTTTTTGTCTATAGGTTATCTCAGTGGCATAGCTTAAACATTAATGTTAAAAATACTTGAAACCATGCCCACTCCCAAGAGACTCACCCCACGATGGATAATTCCAGTTATTATAGCAACGAAGTGTAAAAGGATTGTAATTCCATAAATAAATTTGCAACTGATGACAATTACTTTTTTAAATCTTTAGAATTGTAGTAGAATATGAATTAAACACATAATTGACAATGAGTTACGAAAGGTTACAGTTCACAATATGCCAGCACTGAACACAAATGACAAACCGAATTCAGACCTGTTATCTATGGGAACCTACTTCAAGAAATATTACCCTCACTGAACACGGTGACCGAAACTCATAACTTGACTCGTGCACGACATCCTTAACAAAACAGTCTAGCCATAACTGGACATAGTTTAATTATGAAGGCATATTATATGCCACGACAAAGCATATCAAAATAAGTTCAACTAGTTGAACAATTCCACTTGCTTAGCAATAGAACGCTGTGCATTTGTGATTTTATTCCGTGTATCTCTTGTAATGGCATACCTTAATGTCACGAATAAAAAGAAATTAGTCTGATTATACCTACACACCGTGTGTGTTAACGACACATTGCCTGTAGTCAAGCTATCAAATACTTAATGAAGATCAGTATGTCTGGTCATCAGAAAAGTACAACTCTCATTGGTTCATTAGTGTCAGTTATTTCTTCCATCCTACATTTATGTGTTATCAGGTGTCATATTAAGATATATTTAGTTCCTTGAGCACTCAAGAGACATTAAAAGATAATTACCTCTTGAAATAAGCCGTTATTGCACATGTGGAAAACGGATGGTTTCATGAAACACGTTAAAATATTCAACTGTATTCAAAAGATTGTAAGCAAATATCATTTTCAGGCGGTCTTCCTTGTTCCATTAAACATGCCATAGTCATTTTTCCATTAAAAAACTTTTAAAAACGCCTTTGTTCCAAAACAGTTAGTGATACATATGTAAACCAAAAATTGTTATACAAATTTCCCAAATGCTTCATAAGTTGTATCTGATGCCTTTAATCTTTATCACGTATGTACTGATGATACGGATGCTAATCAAAAATATATGTAACAGCTGTCCGCAGAGCAACTAAAATGGAATCTACAGAGTGTGTATCAAACAACCCAAGGCATTGTTCAAGAACATAATTGAATCCAAAGTCTGCCCAGTTAAAATTGGGTTGCAATGATTGCAATAGCTTAATGTTATCTTTTGAAGTACTTTTATTTAATGATAATAATTATGAAAGATCGGGAGTTCGTACGATTTGTTCAAATTGTGTATGTTATCATTTGTGAATGCATCACATCACGGTGTTTCAAAAAATACATTAAATACGGTAAGAGACTGAAATTAATGAATAGCCATGTTTCCCAATCGTGTCAGTTGCAGTGTAACAAATACATACAATCAATCAACGTTTTGTTATCTGCATTTTAATTATAAACTGACTTTATTGAATAAATATCGATTCACGTCAGTACAAGAAGGCATCTGTTGATGCTTTTACACAGTTGCACAAAGCCAATATTTTTGGACATGTAATTACATCATTCCTCAATCTAGTTTCCCTATTAAAATATTCCAATTCGGCGCTTAATTAAACGGAATGTTGTGCACCCTACGACAATTCTATTTTCAAAGTATGATCATCACAAATTATTGATTCTAATCAATTAATATAGGAAACTGGTACGATACGTATATAGATGCATATTGTGAAATTATAATTCATTACCTTGGTGACCTCTATGACATATCATGTAACAAATTCCCACCTCCGTATTTGAAGAGACGTCAGAACTTACAATTTAGAAATATTTAAGACACTTCACAACATATAATGCGATTCCTTGTCATGGCTTATTTGTCCTGGACACAAAAGCAATCCACCTACTAAATATAGCTGACGCATTCGATAAACCACATGTCAATGAAACTGCTTAATGTAAACGTGTGAATCGATGTATATTATCAAATAGCACACAGAAGTATACATATCTTATCGGAAGTATACACAACCTACATAACCCTTCGAATAATACGGCAGGAAATACAGTGTTTAATGATAATCTACACAAGAAATTTATTGTAGCACAAAACATGGCGAAGCTTGTTAATGAATATGAATTTAAACTTTATATCAAAATACATATTCAAATATAGGTTTGAATATTTATGAATTTCCTGACAATTAAGCTAAAGGTAGTGTATCGATTAAAGGAAATTTAATTAACTTACCTGTTATTTATATTCTAATTTTAAGTGAAGTTCTATATAGTATGCATTGCAACAATTGATTTAGAGTTTACTGTTTTCCTCACACAGTTAGAGTGCTATGATTTAGGTCAGAGTTTCATTGTTCTGTTGTGTTTACGTATTAATCATCTTCTTTGTACACTTCCATCCACCACAATGCTACATAAAAGCCGCCCTAACAATTAAGAGGTGTTGTATAGCGATATTAATGTTTGAGACGTAGCTTACATGTACATCCCAAAAGACTTAATTATATCGCCGACAACATTAAAACCACCATTAAAACTACGTATAACGCCCATCTGGTACATGTATACATATTTATATGACCGAATAGCAGAGAAATTTTATTCACAGCTGGTTATGTTATTCAATAATCATCTGATGTCTAAATTTATTGATTTTAACATAACAATAGTTTATTATATTACAAGAAATCTGATGATATATACTATTGTGTTCTGATAATATCGGTTTGCGATTTTAGAATATTACCGTTTTCTTGGGTTTATTCCGTTTTTATACTGCACTGTATATTTATTTTTCAAATTTGTAATATAGTTATTTTTTTTTCTGAATTGATGAGTAGACACGTATTCTAATTTATTTCAAATGTCATAAGTGAATACGCGTGAACATAATAATTTACAAAAGCTAACCAAGAGATGCATCTTTAGGGCTGTACAACAATTTGTGCATGTCACAATGTTACTTCTGGGAGGTTGAAGGGGTGCGGGGAGGAGGGGGGGGGGGGTGATAACGCGTGCGTTTTATAGCATAAGGAGTGTATCATAATACATTATACATCCACATTTTCATGTGGATGTATATTGTTTGTGGGCACTCTACAAGTCACAATTTTTATTCGATTTTGACGAAACTTAAAACATAGGTCTCGATTCCTTTCGATATTGGCATATATGATATGGACCCTGATTGTACGAAAAATCACGTCTTTAGCTTGTGGTCACTCTAGAGGTCACAATTTTTATCTGATTTTGATGAAACTTGAAATGCATGTTTAAAAGCCGAAGATCTTGGTTCCTTTCGATATTCACGCATATCGGATCGTAATTTCCAGAATCATGACCCTTGATTGTACGAAAAATCGCTTTTTGTTTAGCTTATTATCTACCAATCTCTTGCAAAATGCGGGCGTATCTTGTCTGGCAGCCGCTGGTTCATTATTATTGTGGATTGGAGCCTTACATAGTTTGCTAAATGCCTTCTTCGTGGGTGAACTTATATAAAGATATACTAAATTTATGACTGTCTATTTTGATCGGGTGTACGAGGCAGGGTATGTGTATTCTGGAAAACTATTATTAATTTCGACTGGACTCATTACTCATTAGTGATAGAAATTGAATTTTTTTTTCCGGTGTCAAATTTACGTATTGGCATTTAAAGACCCAAAAGCTTTAAAATGTGCAGTCTGTTAAATAGTACTGGGTCACAGAAATAATAAATGTACCAAGATAACCCCAATAAGACCCATGGTGCCTAATATATTGCCATTCATACTAAATATTCTTTTTAGAAACGCTATTTCAATCCGACATTATGCCAAGTTTGGTTCGGTATCTAATCTTTATTGATAGAAATGACCTGTATATTTCCTATTATTCCTTACCGATATCAGACATATGCCATTGGTACTTTATGAAATGTTGACAACTCACACCCGGCAACTTTATCTACTGTCAGAGACTTTTGGGTTGCACGAACTGGGCCTGCCTATCAAATTCACCGCTGTATTAGTACTATTCTTCTCGGCGTCTAAAGAATGGATTGCGAAATAGATAAAACATTGAAAATGTATACCTCATCAGGGAATAATACTCCCTATTATATATCTTGAGTTTACACAAATTGGTCGGATTAACGTTTTATTCAGTTTTCTAAATACCCAAGTAACATGTTAGCAATGAAATACCAGTTTGGAACCGATGTAGAGATGCAATGTAATCGTGCTTATTAAGAATCTCCTACTTTACGTCAAAAGAAGACATAGTCATATAAAACGGTTATATTTCGTTATATTTTTTATTACGAAAATATTAATATACATGGCATTATTACTTTTTAAATATGTATGAATATGAAAAAAATAGAAATACAAAATAAATAGTATCAAATCTTTATTAAGGATTATCTATATTTAAATATAAATTCTTTCTTAAATCTTGCATTGATATCACTTGAGCAATTGGTATCAGCACCATGTTAAAACAGTACACAGAGCCAACAAATTATTATTGGCCCATTGAATACAATAACAAAACAACTTATAATATTTGAATAGTTTTAGCGACCTATTATTGGTAAAAACACTTCTAGTGGCCTTATGTGCAAGAAACTAAATCTGTTCCTAATATTTGTAGCATGCTTTTACAAGGGGTTAACTGTTCCGATGTTGGTCTCTTCTATTTGAAAGCTAGATAAGGACTATTTATTGGTTATTACTTCCGATGGAGTTAAAGGACAATATTGGTGTCAGTCATTATCATATATAGAACTGGTTAAACATGTTCCAAATATAATTTTAACACAGAGATAATTGCTACGATAGATGCGTAATGAAGAAACGGGAGTGAAAAAAGGAAAACACGAGTTATCCTTCTATATAACTGACTGAAGTCACGAGTGATAACAGATACAGGGGCGAAATTCGGCTCACTACTAATTCCTTCGAAGACCAAAAGTTGTTATTTGAGACTCTGGGCGGATATCTGACAATTCAAAAAAAATATAATTGATTGTCGCTAGATAAGAGAAAACGAGAAAATGGCCGTGCATTACCATGTTTTAATTAAGTATAGAATGAATAAAAACAAAGGAATGTACGGAATTATTAGTGAGCGGAAATTACTTTTGCTTTCGTCACTTCCGTTTCTTGAAATCTTTATCACGCATCTATCGTAGCAATGATCTCTGTGTTAAAATTACATTTGGAACGTGTTTAACCAGTGCTATCACATCATGTGATAATGACTGACACCAATATTGTCCTTTAATATAGTTTTTTTACTTTGTTCGCAGAAATAATTTTACCCAGTAAGTCCCCAAAGCCACATCGTATTTACTGCACAGCTATCAAAGGCACGACATGGCATACTTCAAAATATACATTATGATTATGTCAAGAAATGTTAGATGATTATAAAGATAGGGGATGGGGAAAGTGCCATGGTAACCCCTCACGAAATCGCGAATCATAATCCAGTTGCCAGGTACATGGCCATATTCCCATTCGCTCGTAGCAATTATAATATCACTTGATGTGGGATACTATTACTGGAGAGTCATGTATAGATCTAGAAATACAAAAAACTATTGCTACAATTGCTAGTACTACAATCTCGTCATGATATAATTATCGTTCAGCTTGGTCATGTAATTTAGGAATATCCAAACGTATACCGGTTCGTTGACTGGATGTTACAGGATAACCTTCTGCGATACCGTCCAAATTCTCTAACGACAGATCTGACTGTAACACATTACCCATACTATCAGAACGTTTTCTGTTACTGAAAGGAAACATATACATGTAAAATTTAGCTTGTGTCAGTAATTTAACACAGTAAAGAGAGAGAAGGAGAAATGGGGTTTAGCGTTCACTCGACACAAACTAGGTCATTTCGGGACTAACATATGGTTGAATTTTATTTTAATAATTCGCTTGCGCGTAGGGGTCTTTAGCAGTGGGAGGAAACCGGAGGACCAGGAGAAAACCCGCGAGGTTGGACAGGCGACCCTACTCCTTGTCACGTACAACCGGGAATTCGAAACCAAGCCAGTTGACTCAATGACAGGCCTTATGATACAGCACGCACGTGCTAACCATTCGGCCATCCAAAAAGTTGGACACAAACAGAAAAGGATTATAGTGGGAAACAATGAGTTATTCCGAGTCCAAGTCTTGTCAGGACCGGATTACGGCACACACCAACTAGGCCATGGCCTACGGCCCTGCAATGTTAGGAGCCCCGCGTATTCATTCTCTGTGTTTCCTTAAGCTCTCGCTTGGTTCAATAAATCCTCTCAATAATCCCTGATATAAGCAACGGGTCGGATGAGAGCTCGGAATTGCTTATATCCGATTTTGGTTATATCAGAGCAAAGTCTAACTTACTTATTTTATGTGTTTTCTTTTTAAATAAAGTGAAACTTTTATAGTATGGAAGATTAAATAGACCTATACTTTATTGTGTCTATTTTATTAAGTAAAATTACAATGTACAATGTACATATATATGCCACTGTTACTTCTTTTGCTATTTTGTATTTTATTGATAGATGGATGGTCGTGTAATAGGGCCCCACAAAACCCTAATCCTGCCCTGACTCTTGTAGTGCATCTGGTGCTATTATCCAATCCGTGGTGGCCGATTTTATATTGAAATGGAACATGCATTATGCAAGCGGTAAATCTGCCTATTGCGTGACTTTCTTTTGGTATGAAATGTTATATAAACTATTAATTAGACATTTATTAACATGAAAAGACCATAATCAACTCTCGGTGCCATCTTATCTCTCTGATTTTCATTGGATTTGAATCCGATCTGCTGTTCAACGTCCGTTGATGATTAAACTCAAAAATGGATAATCATGACAGCACTAACAATGACAATTGAGGCTACAAAGATTTTAGAATAGGGTTTTCTCGGCATAGGGTGAAGCAATTTTTCTGAAATTTTCAGGATATTCCCTTTACATCATTTAGTTTTAACTATTATAGTAAGCACTACCAGCTCCATAATCTTCCATAATGTATCTTTAAATACAGATTATCCTAAATTGTCAAGTTTGCTAGTCAAATATGTTTAGGGGGTGGGTGTAGCAGCGTCATCTGCAATCGATCCTTGATATTTTTCACAGTCGTCAAAGAATCTTATTGGTTTCTCCATTTCACATTGCACAAACATAGAGGGTAAAAGAAGTCCCAGTGTTTTGCCCAACGGAACATTACCTGCCACCAGGTCAGACATGTGATATCAGTTAGGACAGTTGGACTAAAAGGAGGAATTCTATCACACCATCTATTATTAACGGAGTTATTGTCTTCAGGGTCCCCAGCATGTTGTACAGATGTAATTTACCCCTCCAGGAGCAAATTCGCCTTCCCAGAGGGCACACTTTCTGATTTCTTTTATTTGTATTTTTCTTCTTTTTTTTTTATTATTACGATTAATTTCCTTTTAAACTAATAATAAACATATCAATAATTGTTGAAGTGCTCTCTAAAAGGGTGTTTCTTAACGACAATGACAAACGTGGAGCAAAATGATAACTCAATTGTCAGGGAAACAGATAGATACGTAACTGATGTGGCTTCCTTCCTACTACATGTAGATCCATGCACAGTACATGATTTTTTGTTGGATTTTTGTATTCATTCTCTTCATCATTTACATAATGCAAAATGAGAGGTCTCTATTCATATACATGCAGTAAGGGTGAACGTCTTATTACCTATAAAAAAAACATACCCAGATAGCAATACCATTTTGCGTGTGTTCGATTGTTATTTGGTAATGTAATGTACAATTACTAACAATGCAGTAATAAACGCTACTTGCTTGTACGATTCCAAACAATACAGTAGTGGAGTTCATTGTTGATTTTTTGTGTCTCAATGATTATAATTTGGTAACGTACCGTTACGAAGAATACAGAAAAGTATTTTTCATGTGACGAGTTTCATTGTTGATTATTTTATATTTGATTATTAACATAACAGGCTCATATTTACCTTTGTATCTGTTCAGTTGGAACAAATAATTCCGTTAAAGATAAGGACCGATTCGGCGGACTGGGAGCTAGAGGAAGAAAACATGAAGTTTGATTGATCATTTCAACATGCGTTATTTCAGGAAGATCAGGGCTTGTCCCAATATCAATTGCTGAATCTGATGTCAAACTAATATCACTGTTTTTAGAATTACATTTAATTTGCATCACATCGTTATCTTGTAATCTCACTGATTTGTAATTTCGGTCATTTGTAACGTATGTATTTGTAGTCCGATTCTCACCACTAATATGATGGGATGCGACAGCCGCACTAAAGATTCTCACCCTTTCACCCTCGTGGTCCTCAGTCAAAGTTGGTAGAGTCTCACGGCTTCTTTTCCTCTCCTTGCCGGCTTGGCCTATTTTCGTTTTGAGCTTTTTTGACATTCGAGGTGACCTCGAAGGGCGTGGGTTTTTCATGGTAGATTTATGTTTACTCTTGTTCTGAAGTTTAGTGTTTATTTTAGTAACCGATTCGTTTACATTAGTTAGATTTATTCTAGGTAAGTCAGGCTGCGAATGATATTCCAGTACAGGCTTCTTCTCTTTTGGTTTAGTGTAAACCATAATTAAAATCCCAAACACAATACAAATCACAGAAAGAGTTAGTAACAAGAGGCCACCAATATGAATAATACCAAATCCTGGAAATCCTACAAATCCAATTGCAGTGAGCGCTATGGCAGGGGCAAATAAAGGTATTCCAAACACCAACAAAATCCTTGGTTTACACACAAACGAAAAACATCTAGAAGACCTTCCTGGGCTTGAGGCAGCCATCAAAAACAGACTTGTCGCGGGCACCTGCTAAAATAGGAGAACAAAATATAGCACTCTATAAATCGTAAGCTCCATAATAGGCTTATTCAAGATCAGTGGTCAGTTATAAGCCTGGCTTAACCAAATAGTTTTATTAGTCTAGCAATGTCACTTATGTAATGAGCTAACATACCTGGGTGATATGTGAAGGACACATCGATTCTAACTAGATAAGGAGAACATCAATTTACTTTGAAGATCTTACAAATGATATGTTTTCACATGTTACTATATAACAACTAGGGGTAAAATAGTTCGGCAATGAAATATACTTTGTTGAGATTGGGAGATTGGTAGGACAAAATGTTTAACGCTACACTAGACGTAATTTGGTTTGATTTTGAACAAGTGCACATAATGTTTAATTGGTTGACATGAAATTGAATAAATCAGTTCACCCAGCTTGTATAGCCAAAAGGTAACACACCAGAACAATAGGAGTTTGGCGTTAGCTAACGTGAGTCAACCTGCCATTAGTTGCACCTGTTCTTGGGACGACTTTCTTCAAAATAGACTAAGGCTCCGCCAATCTGAATACGATCCACTTGTATCTTGGGAGATGCTAATAGTAGGCCGGTTGGGGAGGTTCGGGGATTTCCGTAGCACGCAATGGCCGCTTTATATAAATGAGTATTTGGGGGAATACTAATCCTAACCCTAAGGCTTTTTAGAAGACTAAACTTGGACCCAATTTACGTTTTAGCCCTCCTAAAAGGGTTAAGATTAGTATTCCCCAAAATAATCATTTATATAAAGCGGTCAATATGGGTTCTAGCAATTCCCGAACCTCCCCAACCGGCTTACAATTAGCATCTCCCATGAATCTTGGCATGCTTGTTCTTTTAAAAATTTCGCTTCTAGTATGTCACAATTCCAAGATGATTGCGATCACGGACATAATTATCCTTATTCGTCTAATGACCCTCCCCAGACCATAAAGCTGCGTAACTGTCATGTGGATAGCTATAAACCCTTTTGAAAAATTCCGAATCATCATGACCCCTGTCCTAGCGTCTGATTGTTTTTTGGCTGTGGATTGTATGGTAAGGTCACAAAATCCCCGATTTTTTGTTAAAGTTTCGGAAGATCCCTGAAAAAACTAAACCTAGTTTGTTCTATCTCAAGGAGAACATAATATGTCAACGTACGACTCGGAATATAATATTGAAATGACATTTTGTAAAAGGTATACATGAATTTACTATACAAAACATTCGTAACATGGTGTCAAATATTTTGGATATTCTTTTCTTTATATCAAAACGATGAACAGCTATAATAACAGGAATCAGACTAGAAACTTGTGGCATTCAGCCAAAAAATTAAAAACAAGTTTACAAATGTGTATTCGTTATTAGAAATTTGCGACAGCTGACCAGAATATTTAGTTATCTGAACACCAAAATATAATCTCAAGTTAATCTTCTAATAAGATTATCTCGATTTTTGTCAACTTACCATTTGATATCATAACATGTGATATTTCTTATAATAATATTACTTTAACACGACAGGTACGTTTGACATGTCCCTGGTCCGCCATATTGTTAGTATTGGTTACCGATCCGGTATCTAAATATAACTGATCAGTTTTATATAGGTGAATGCTTTTACAACTGTTTCAAGATAATGGTATACCCATACATTCATTGTCATTTGAAGTTAGTTGTACCGTACTACCCTCGTTGCGGTTTGTATAGAAGAGTCGAACAATAATGACTCATAATCTTTATTGATATGTGTCGACCTTGGTAAATATGAATATATTATGCACGGTTGTGCCCTAAATTCGTATATTACATATAATCTTATATCGTTATGTATGGAGTATGTATGAACTCAAAATGGGATTTACAGACCTTGTGATCTAATGCGCACGTCTTAGACCATTCACGCCCCCCCCCACTCCCCTCCAGGACGGAAATCAGAAATACGCCATGGGTATCAATTGATAAAGATTTTGCCCGGATATCGGCGCTATGGCCTACTCCTATTTTGAATTCCAACTGTCAAGGGTTCTATTAGGTGTACTATTGTCGACCCGGTACTGGGTTGAACTAAGCACCCCCAGGTGAGCCAGCAAGCGCCTTATACCACGGGGCCTTGTCAAATCTCTTTATCATACGTCTTCTTTGATTGGCATTTAGTAATTGAACATCTTATGGATACACAATTACCGAGTTTAATAGTAAGCAAATGATACAGATATGTGAATCCCGTTAAGACATCGCGGTGACCATTTACGAATAATTTAATATATAATTAATGATATGAACAAATTATAGCACAATTATGTGGCGTATAAAGAAAATATCAAAAACACTCAAACATTGAATCACCAAAATTTGTCACATTATCATTTGATTATATTGTTCCGGAGATAAGTTATAAAACAAGGTTCTCCCACAGCACGAAAACAGTATTGGCGATTGTTTGTTTTGTTTTTGTTTGTTTAGCAGTCATCCAGTCGCGGAATACTGTAATCAATCACAGAATACTGTAATGGCCAGGATACAGTTATCAAAAGCAAGCTACAGTTAAGATGAAGGGGGAATAACTGCAATTTTAAAACGAAAATATTGGGTAGTAGATGTCACTTATTTCCTCCAAAGTCAATATGAAATCACCAAGTTCAGCCAATTGTAGAACATTTCCAAAATTTCTTTCCATTATATTTGCAATATTTGTACTATGACCATAAGGCTCGTATGAGCATGACCATTAAATTGTCGACTCACCAACATCCGTATAAAACATATCATGCTTGTTCACCCGCTTATCCATCGGTTCTGCAAGAACAAAACGTCAAGACAAATTACCATGCACCATGAGAGAACAAGGAGAAAAATATTGAGTACAAAAATGAATAGTCTATAGTTCCTGTGTGGAATCAAAAATAAAATGTTTCTAAATTCTTTGAATGGCATTTAGCGATTGAACACAACACAGTTCTATGGATAACAATCACTATATATCATATACACACGACGTTTCCTCAAGACTTCACTGGTCGTTATCACGCATATTATACAAATTTACAAATGAGGAGAATTTGTTTTTGTTAAATATGTGATTTTATGCCTTCCCCCTCTCTCTCTCTCTCTCTCTCTCACTCGCTCTCTCTCTGACTAGGTCCCCCTCCATGCTTGTTATTTTGGGGTTCTGGGAACAGAATCATGAAACCCTAGCCTAATTGATTACACCGAGTGAGTATATTATGGTTTAATTGTGATAACACGTAATATAGTTACATACTAGGGATAAATGTTTCTAATAGCTTATTTGATTTGAGTTTCTTGAAATAACGCATTTTTCCAATATAATTACTAAATGATTGTCACTTGACTTTTGATATTTTTAGTATTTCAAAAGGTCTTCAACGTGTAATTCGCTTCTTGCTATGAAAACAAATATGTCTAGATTTTGAATAACTCTGTTAATTTATAAAATAATGATTCTGTAAAATTAATTAAAAAGTTCGGTCGTATTTTTACCCAAAAGACCCAACCTGTGTGATTATTCGGTTTGTTTCATTATATGACAATCTTCCCACCAAAAGTGTCATTTTCAGCGAGTTAGCTGATACTAGAACGGCACCCTCCCGTTTCGTTTACGTCCTATTTCGACTACAGCTTATAACAACAGATTATTGGAACGTAGTGCCATAGGGTTACAACACCTGGGTAGACATTGGTCTATTTGGTATCAGTGGTCGATGGTTAATTGGAATTAATGGCGACCGCATAAAATTTGAACTTGGTGCTTTGGTAGAGTAATACTATGACATATGTAAATTACTTTAATTGCTTAAAACAGATGCCTTCGTTCTTCCGGAGGCTATGTCTGTATTGTAAATACGATTTTGGGTTAGTTAGGTGTCCTGGAGATTAAATTCGAACTAGCAAACAGTTTCACTGACGTCAAATGTCTGGTTCTACAAATTTGGTCATAGTTTTGTACCTACCAAGAATAGCAAGAGAATCCCTCCCATCTCAGCTAATTCTTAGACACACACACATACAACATGTATTAAATGTATACTGGCGTGGTTTCTCCATGCTAGTGGTGTTGGACACAGGTCTTGATTAGGAATGGCATCTAGTGGTTCCATTGTGACGAAAAACCCGAGGTCTCGTGTATACGTTGAAGTGTACGTAAAAGAGCCATTGACAATGGGGGCAGTGGATATCTGAGGGGCAGTGGGCCGGTGTGCTCCCTTGGGAAAAATTTTGAAAATCTGGTGCAGAAACGATGAAATTTGACGTCTTCTGACAGGCTACCAGTTAAAACCTATCAGATCAAAATACAACTCAGATCACTAGAATCCATAACTGATTCGGTTCACTTCGACGTAGCATATTGAACAAAAATTTCGAATCCTGTTTTTATACAATTTCACCTGTTATATTCAAAAATATTCAATCATGAGACTGTACGGTAACGTGTACTTAGCTAAGTCTTTAACTCAGTATCATCCACAGGCTTCGACATTGAAAACACGAATTACTTGTCAATTTAAATCAACATTTATGTTGTGATCTTATCGGGAAAAAAAGGGCTCCTTATATCCAATATTTAAGACAAAATAAACATTTTATCATTGGTATACAAATCGTGTACTAGAATGCGTTTCAACGCCATTTGTAACAAGGGGTGCGAAGAACGAGGCTAGACACATAAATTCATGTCAAACGGTGACGACATATTCTTATCTGGGGAGCATACGCAATAAATACTACCGGTTTAGACTGGAATAATCAGACTCTAGAGATTGCCATTAGATTGAGACTTCTCGCCTATTTCGCCGAACATAGGGGGATCACGTGGTTAAGTAGGTAAGACGCTGGCTCGCTAGCCTGGAGGTCGGGTGTTCGATCCCTGCATTGGCCGAGAAAGTTCATCCAGATTTTCTGGCGTGTTCCCCCTTGTATATATTGGAATGCACGTAAAAGACCCCCTGGCAGTTGGAATTCGATATAAGAGTAGGCGATAGTGCCGCTGCCCGGGCAAAATATCCCTCATAGCACACTGTATGGCGTATGCCCGTCTTCATTAGCCCAGTATAGGAGCAGAACAGTAGGACGTTAAACCCCATTTCATTTCATTTCGCCGAACATAACTGATTTGAAATTAGAGTAAAACCGGGTACGATTGAATGTAAATCAGTTTATATACATTCTTATTACATTATTATATGCCTTGCGACCCATTTGTGTCGATTTCTATGTCCCAAATAATAGCGATTTAGTCCGTTTAACCAAAATCTATATTTTGCTCTGCTGCAATCTAGCAATGAACTCTGTAACTCCACACACATCAACTGTTAAAAGCGAGAAGGGTGGTCAGACAGCCTCATTGCTGGTGTACCAAAAACATTTTAAAGGATAGTCAGCAAAAAAATAAAGGCAGCGGGGCAATTGTTCCGTGCTTTTGGGGGCAGCGGGGCATTTTGCACCCATAGCCCCGCCGTTCCGACGCCCTTGATGGTATATGCCCTTCTTCATTATCCCGGCAATGAAGTAGAACGTCAAACCTATTTTTTTTTTTATTTCTTTTCATTGTTATTCCATATTCTTTGTACATTTGCCTACCATTTGATATACATTTGATATACATTATATCATTGCATCATAAAGCCTGTAGCGTTCTCGTCGAAAAGTCGCATAGTAATAAATTAGGTAATTGTTGTGTGTCCATAATATTTACCTTGTGTTGATGTTTTCAATTACTAAATGCCTATCAAAGAAGTCATGTATATAAAAATGAAATGATTTCCACGTTCCTCTTCAGTAATAGACATGTATGAAATATTATTTGACAGCTATGCCGTACCCCCCCCCCCCCCTTCCAAATGATGGGGCGTCAGTAGCGGGTAGAGATTGATGGGTAGCCATTTTTTCTCAACTACACAATTTGTACTTTACCTGGATAATATGTAATCAAGAACACATGCTCTCAATATGGCTTCTTGTGGGTGTCTATTTCCTACAAAAGGATAAATCAAGCTTATGTGTGCTATCTATTAAAAGCCCTATATATTACCAATAATCGCGGGCAGTAATGAAATTGTTCCACGGATTGTTATTAAAATAGATGTAGATCTATTACGTCTACACACGAGGATTCAAGTTACTAAATTAATGTTGCGCATTTTAATAACACTGTTCCTTATAAAATAGATATCTTAACAAGAAAACTTGGATTCAAGTTACTAAATTAATGTCGTGCGTTTTAATAACATATTCCTTATATATTAGATCTTAACAAAGTTATATGAATTAACGGAACAGCCAACTGTGTATATGTATAAATGTTTAGTTTTTATTTTAGTCTCAAATAATATTATTTTTCGTGTATTTATATGTTCTTGTTGTACATATGTTCTTTATGTACATATTAAACTTATTTTTGTAAATTCTGGAGAGAAGTAAACTGGGGACTAGCCTGTTCTCCAATTCATTTTCATACGAAATTGTTTATAAACAAAATAAAGAGCAAATTCTACACACAGTTGTAATAAAAAGAGAACAGGAACGAAATACATGTGGTGACAAGCAAGGGTAAGTGTGATGACTTGGTTCAGACAGATGTTGGGTCATGTTGTGGCTTTCATTCCAAAAGGAGATAAAACTTCTCATAAATCTTGACAGGTCAATAAAATCGATGGGTATACTGGACATTCCAATAAAAACTAATAAAACCTCAAGTATCAAATATAACTTTATTTGAGATTCATTATGAAAGTTCTTGAACCGCATATGGTCAAATAAAAATCACTTGATGTCATTTAAAACAAATTTAGACATTGACAACGTTCAACCTGAGGCTAGGTTAACACATATCAAAAGGTAATTTTTCAACAACAACAAAGATTTAACAAAATTGTACTTAAAAAAAAATCAACAATGATATTTAGTATAAAATGATTTGTGTAATTATAGATCTTTGACTAGATCGGCTAATTAACAAACTACTTTGCTGGGGGAGGGGTGGGGGAAATACATTATGTAAAAGCTAAACTTCCATAGTTTGCAGGTCTTTTCATCACGCTTATAATCAACTCTCTATACCATCGGATGACTGAGATATGGTATGGATTAGACCAGCCTTTCAATAAAAGGACTGAAAATCAAGACTTCTGACTCAGAATAAATCAGTTTGACTGAAATTTTCAATTCATTTTTCATTATTTATTTTTGAATTTTTATAGCAAGAACGATTAGCTCTATCTAACTAAATCTTACATAATGCATCTTTAAATAATCTATAAATAAACGACAATTTATTGACTTTTAAGTTACATTGAGAAAATATCCCATGTTTGCTCAAGACACCAAATTCCTAACTTCACAGTGTATGTACGCCTCAACACAGTGGTGCGCATTATAACGTTTATGTAGTTTATAACAACAATAAGCAATATCCGTGAAATTACGGAAACGTAACAAAAAATAGGCTTATAATACGTAGAAAGTCATTGTGCAAAAACATTCATTCAGCAGTTTAATCTCAAGTTCATATTTTGTCGTTCATCATCACTTTGGTTGCCATATATCAGAATCAATTATTAACTTATTAAAGCGAAATGATATTCAAAATCAACGTAACAAAATTCTTATAGATATAATACAAAAAGAAAACAAATTTGCTGAAAGAGAAAACGTAATATCCGGAACTGTTTCCTGGTCAGGATGAATATAATGTGTTCATCACAGATTAACAGAGGATGATTTGATCAAAATACCCAGTCCTTAATCAACCTAAAGTTGATAACATTAAAGCATTTGTAGTGAGTTTGTTGCTATATTCACTATTTCAACAATGCAAATTGTACAATGGAAAAATGAGCAATTTTTAACACCACTTCTGATAAAAACAAAAAGGGTATTAAAAATTTATGATCAGGGTGGAAGATCAAAACAAAAATATTGATATGCGTTAAATAGGTGTTCTTGTAGTAGACTCAATTCTTTCAATTGCCACACAGGATACAGGATGTGTAACACAAGGCACAATCTGTGTATCACTAATTGTCTTTTAATATTATGCTTGATTTATACATAGTTAACTACCTATCGTACATGATGATTCAAGGATTACCTTTCAGCTATACCTTATCACCCTGTTAATTACAAAATGTGCATTAAAATTACCGAACAAATAAGGACCTCAAGCCAAAGAACCACCCCACCCCATCTACCTTTGTTATTGCTCATCAACTGTGAACCTAGTATGTTCGCAAAAGTTGTTTTTAGGTTCACGTTTTATTACACATATTTTTATCACATATTTATTTATAATTATTGTCCCAGGTTTTCTTTCCTACATCTGTAGCACTGACCTTATAGTTCAATATACTCTATTTTATTATTTATACCAAATAGTTCATTCTATAAACAGTAGTTCCTCATTCGCTTTAATGCATTGTTTCAGAAACGTTTGTTTTTATCACACATTTTCTCATTCAATAGCACTATTCATAAAACTATATCACAGACCATTGCTTAGTGTGTGTTTCTATAAATAACAAAATGGCGATCTATTTCTCAGAATAACATCAAAAGTTTTCTGAATCGGTCCCTGCGTGATAAATACCCCTATTCGTTCGTATTATGTGTCCCGAAATACTGTCTGTTGATGTCACACTATTTGTATCATAGGAACCATCAGATAATATTCTACGACCTGTATCGCCATTTAAATCCGGAAGGTCACCAAGATGGCGCTTGGCGGATGTATGGTCATCCGGTGATGCGCCGTTTGTTTCATCTATAATAGACATCTCTTCATCCGGTTTATCTTGACTACTGTAACTAAAATAAACCAAATAATAGAAATTGAGCAACAAGAAGAAAATACTAAGATTCATTTGTTTGTGTTTATTATTCGGGTATTGCAAAAATTCAAAAATCTGTCAGGGCTGAAACCTCAAATAAAAACCGATTTGATACGCTTTAAGACAAAAACAAAAACTCTAGTAGTTAATGGTGTTAATATAGGTTGTTTTTTCCTATTCAATCCATTGTCAAATTTGATTGCATATAAAAGTGCTTACCTAAATTTTGTATGTTTAAGATCTATTTTTGGTAATCTTTTTAAGGGATATAAATCTGTATTTACGTCAGAGTCATCCTGGGTATCTATACTGGGATTTAATTGAACTCTTTCACCACCACTGTCTTTAGATAAGCTATGTGTATTTTTATTTTTTTCTCGTATAAGCGTTTCTAAATTATGTTTAGTTTTTTGTGCTTCGATGTCCTCTTCATTCGGATTATCCGAGTCTGATCCTGAGGTGTAAGAGCCGGTTCCCGATGACGAATAAGATAAATTATCTTTTTCAGGTACAGTTTTTTTTCTATTCTGATTTTGATCTCTCGAAGACGTAGAGGTAGACGCATAGATTGTTTCATTGTTATCCACGATTTTTTTCTGCGACTGAACGCTTGCGTTATCTTTTCCGTTCCATTTGAGTTTGTCAAGTTTGTCGTGAGTTGTGACTGATGTGAGAGTTTCATTGTCCAGTGGCACAATACGAATTATCTGAAATAAACATCTAAACACGCATCCCAGGAAGAACAACAACAGGGCGATGACCAACACCGCCATTCCAAGGATATGTAACGCTCCATATTTTGAAAATCCTGTTTCATCAGAAAACGCCACCAGAGTAATGGTTAATCCTGGGATGAGTAAGGGTATGGAAAAGGATACCATACACGGACCAATATTGCCCTTAAACTCCTTCGTTAAGAGTCGGGTTCTGGGCTGTTCTGGTGCCGGCATTGTTGTCTTCGAATGAATTAGAGGGGTATTGTTTTCTGGTTGGGCTACATTCCTCTGGTTGCCATGGTTGTTGTATTATTGTCTGTCACACTATAATAATCACTACAAAAATAGAACAGAAAAATAATTAGCAGCCAAAAAGGAAATTTAAAAATCAAATTCACAAATAGATCTACAGGTGTTCTATCTAAAAACAAAATAAAGCGTATTTCTAAATATAATTTCTAAAAACAGTTGTGCTAATATTTTCGGATATATTATACGTTTTTTAATTATCATTTATACATTTACTCGTGACTGATGAAAACACTGCGATGCATATTTTGTTATATATTTTTCTGAATAAAGAGATAAGTTTTTAATATTATATCGTGTTAAATTGAGAAAATCGATTTCATGGCGTCCTATACATTATATATTACACGAGTATAATTAAAATAGACTATGCCTGTGGTTGTGAAATGTTTTGATGAAAACACTGCGATGCTAGGCAGCTAAACACTGGTAATACAAGAATTCACAATTGATTTATTAAAACTTCTAATACTGCCCATTCTTTTACAGTGGGATTATTATTCATATTTCTAAATTTAGCTTGTCTGTTTACTTTGTATTCTATTGTTGTTCTTTAGTGCTTTTAATAAAGCTGGCTAAATTAGCTGGCTATCAGTGAGTGAAGCCCGGGCTCACTAACCAGGGGTCCGGGATTCCGCTTGTCAGGCAGATGGTCTTGCAAGGACAGTGTCTAGTCGTTCGGGTTGGACAAAACCCCGAGGAACCATGTACAAATTGAAGTGCACATAAAAGAACCCTTGACAGAGGAGTTGAGTGCCGGTGTCCGGACATTGTATGGCGTACACCGGTCTTCGTAAGCCCAGTCATTGATATTGATATTTTCCACGTTAAATCGCCAAAGCACCGACGTTGTTATAATGACTCCTTTCAATAATTTGGTACATAAATTTCCCGGTCCAAAGGTAATTATTATCTTATTACTTTACTTAATTTCAGCGGCCAAATTTCATGTTGCTAATTCTCATCGAAAAACGGGGATCACGTGGCTAAGTGGGTAAGACGCTAGCTCGCTAGCCTGGAGGTCGGGTGTTCGATCCCTGCATTGGCCGAGAAAGTTCATCCAGATTTTCCGGCGTGGTTCTCCCTTGTCAGTGATGCAGGACGGAGGGGCTGACAAGGAAAGCTGTCTAGTCGTTCGGATGGGACAAAAAACCGAGGTCCCGTGTACACATTGGCGTGCACGTAAAAGATCCCTTGGCAGTTGGAATTCGATATAAGAGTAGGCCGTAGTGCCGCTGTCCGGGCAAAATTTTCCTCATAGCACACTGTATGGCCCGTCTTCATTAGCCCAGGTTAGGAACAGAACAGTAGGACGTTAAACCCCATTTCATTTCATTTCATTTCTCATCGAAAAACAAACAATTGAAAATGTCAGGGATCAAATTTCAGGTACTTGTGACTAGTTCTCAACGAAAAACAAACATTTGACTGAATGTTTGAAATATAATCGTAGTATAGTGTTCTATGTCAAGCATACAAATTTGAGAAATTCTTAATGATCAAATATAAAATATTGCATTGGGTTAACGTGATGTGTTACTTACATTAGTGACATGGTAAGCTCTTTTGTGATTCAATTTACTACTTTTAGTTTATTTTTTATATTACTGTGTCGAAAGTAGGGCTCAGAATCAGTTAATTCAAAACACTGGCTTTATTTATACACAATGAATACAACAAAAAGCAAATCAACATAATCCAATGAGATCTGGTCATTTTAAAAGATTAATATTTCAATGATATGTTGGGGTTTTTTTTCAGAACGAAATGTTTTAATTGCTATCTTTCAGATAACAAAATTGCATCGTACAATAGCAATGTCAACTTCGTAGCTGGATTAGAAGTGGTATATGGTGCTGAAGAGTAATCATACTCTGTCATTATCTTGATGCCTGTCTTGCCTGATAGTTAATTGGCGCAGTGATTTTGAAAAACTCCGGCTGACTCGCATGTTCAAAACGTTGAAATAAAGAGATTTAAAGCATACAATAATTGGCGTGATTATTGTGATGGATGTAACATTAATTAATTTCAGATTAGTTTCAGCAAATCAAATACTATCTATAGCCACAATCTTATCTGAACATCATACTATGTCAATTACAACTCTCCATCCTGTTTCTTTGTGAAAAGAATCGCGATTTCATTTTCTTATCGGCTCCTGGCGAGGCGAAAGTAGGTTAATTTAATTATGTATTAATATAGGTTGAAAGACGATTACTTGACGGTTAATGAAGACGGGCGTATAGTGTGCTATGAGGGACATTTTGCCCGGACAGCGGCTCTACGACCTACTCTATATCGAAATTAAACTACTAAGGGATCTTTTACGCGCACACCAATGTGTACGCAGGACCTCGATTTTTCCCCCTACCCGAACAACTATACGCTGTCCCTTGGTCCTGCACGACATACATATATCATATGATATCTATATCTGATGTTTTCTTGATACATGACATAATATACTTGTCTTTGAGAATGGACCATACGTTGGCAATAGAGATTAGACTTCGACATGATGATTGATATATTTATTGGCTATATATCAATAGTGTTTCCTATTTTGATTCTTATTAATTTTAACAGTATAATAGAAAGGGGCGTTGGGTCATAAAAAGTAGTTCAAAACTGACATGCGTGATCTTTTTTCCCTTATACACACAAAGACCGATTCGTCAGCAAATTAAATGTTTATTATGTGACAAAGCAATGTCAATATGAATGAACTATTGACGAAATAGTTTGCACTGCCCTTTAAGTAACAATGTTGTCATTAATTTATAAATAAATTTGCAGATTTGTATACCATATCCCACAAAAGTATAAAATATCGTATTCTAATAACCTACAATTTAAAGACCTAAGCTGTTAGAAATTTATAATGTTGTTGTAATTGCTTTAATGGTTAAATGATCATTAATGACGTTATGACATATATATACACTGCTAGTTCTGTCAATGTTATTTCCATTTGTAATTAAGGTAGTGGCGTATATAGGATTAAGTAAGTAACTTGAAATATATTTAAAGATTCAATTTATTCTTCTTGTATTATCCCCTAATCATAAAGTACGGTTATACATGCCAATAATAAATTCATGTGAAATCTACTACACAGAATTCAACAGTCAGTAAGGTAATATCATCTAATAAAATCACATAAAATGGACAGAAACATTAAATATTAACACATTTACAAATTATTAGTGTAAGGATTATGTACATAGTCGTATCAAGTCGTGTACCAGGTAATCAATTACATCGATAGAGTCTATACATTTATAATATATCCCAATAAAGTTTTACACAAGATTTAGAATAAGTCTAAAGGAATCGTGTGACAAATACATATTCGCTGTAAGTGTCGAAATCCAACAAGTATCATCAATATCCAATGGATTGTATTATCGATAATTTAAGAATCGAACTATGTTTTTGGAGGGATTTCTTAAAAGGTGGTACGTCTACACGAACAGTGCTATTAATAACTAATCCAACTGATATTATCAATATTTAATCAGAGTTGTGGATACTTTGAAAATCAAAATACAATAATTAATTAGTTATTAGTAAGGGATCTAATAGTAGGGTCTATAGAAATTATTTTATCTATTGTCATAATCATGGTTGAATATGGTGATTATCACCTTTATAAGCGATCAAGAAAGTGTAAGTCGACAATTATGGGTTATATCTTAAAGTAGCTTAATAACTGATACTAAACCTGGCTTGATTGGTCCTACATTCCACCACAATATAAAGCTGTAAGTATAGATTTATACGAATCCGCCATATGTTTGAGTTATATATAATGTTTAGAGTGGTTTCTATAAAACAATAACAGCCTAGCCATGTACATGGTTAAACAGTGAATGCGGATGCAAGAGTGGTGAGGTTTATTAAATTAGATACATATCCGGAAAAGTCAACACCTTTGGCCAATCCTAAAGTAGCCATAAAACTAGTCTTAAACTGTATGTTCGTTAACCTGAAGGTGTTTAGGGGAAAAACAAAATTATTCATTTGCCTAGTATTATTAGAAACCGGTTGTTAATGTTATGATTCATGAAGATTCGTCATACTCAGTGCTGTCCACTATGCCTATTTGATATCATAATAATAATTATAACACGCTTTCCTTATTACAATTTTATTAAAAACAGTGAAACTATCCATAACAACACCGAGTCATTGAAACAGAGATTCCATACTTTTATTGGATTTTACACCATCCTTAATTGATGTCTGTTGTTTCAACGATATGGCTGGTATCTAAGGTTTATTATCCCAGTTGCGACACGTTTTTATTTTAATAAATAAAGTTGGACTTACCTAAGATCGGTATATTCATAACCTACATTGTTTACAGGCTTCATATAAACATGTTGATTTGCCTGTCTATATTCCCCTCACACAGGATGACACCAGCGTGTCCCATTCAATGAATACTTCAATAGACCTTTACAACGTTGCCATGTTCACCGATAAACAATATTATTCTATGAAGCAGGGGACGTAACTCCAGTTATATCACCTGTCTATTTTATCGATGTCTTCCTCAATCAATTCTGAAGATTCTAATCTTAGCTTGACGTAAATCCATTCCTAGTCATGTCTTAGTAAAGAATAGGTTTAGTTTATCCTACATGCGGATTAGCCTATGGGAAAGTGTGCCTATCGAACCCTCGAGAGAATGATTTTATATTAATAAAAGACCTCTTAATTCTATTATTTATGCCAGGACCGTTTGTCGGTGAGGAAAGTGTCGTCTTAAAATTAAGATAACAGATTAAATTTATTTAGGTATATGTATTATAAAGTTATTTGTAGTTCCTATATCGTCTGTATCAAAATTCAGATCAAAAACGTGAATTTGATGTTTTCACCACGAAAGAAACAGCGGTTAACCAAGCGATTTACATGGTTGTCTCCCATTTAACCCGTGTCAATTTGTGGATTGTATCATGAATGAAGATCTTCAGTGATTCTCAAATTAAAGTCTATATTGTAAATATAGATAGTTTGTCGATATGGGACAAATGTCGATTATGGTAAATGTAGTATACTTAACTATATATAAAGTTGTTTTTTGTTGAGTTTCAGTTTTTTGTAAATCACCTTTCTTTGAAGCGGACTATAGTTTTAATCCTATTATATTCGATAATCCCCATGCTTGACTGCCTCTACCACGTGAACAATAGCGGGGACATAACGAGAGGATGTTTTCACTAACGATTGTATTCGGTGTAATCGATTGTTTTTATGTAGATTATAATAATTGCGGTTATCAATAATTTAAAAAAATCAACTGGTAACACAAGTGACATGATGAACTTTGCAACAATGGCTACCATTTATCAATAATTGATACAACATTGTTTACGACACAAACTTTTCCACCCATGCAATAAATTATTTATCTATAAACAGATCCATGGACATAACCATAGCCACTTTCAGCTCCTGGCCATGGTATTGTGAAAATAGTAGATCGAAAAATAATTAAAGTTTTTGCTGAGAATTTGTTTAAGATAGTCGAACAAAGCGCGGAAATGTCCCCACACAGCAGCTTTGTCTCAACCGTTGCTTATCCGAAAGGAAAACTTGGATGACTCCGAAACGGAAAGTCGCAGAAGGCTTAATATCGATAGGGTTCATTTTCCCATGATTGGGAAATTTAAAACAAATTTATTAAAAACGATAGCCTTTTTCGTGTTCACAATGTTTTGGCAAAGGGGGATTACTCCAGAACAAAAAAGCCACAGAGAGTTGAAAAGAATCCGTCCAAAACTGTGCCCTCTACCGCGTTCACAAGCCAATTGTTGACGGACATGATGAAGATATATTACGACACTGAAATGTGGGCGTATAAAAATATCCCTGACCTGAAACTATAATATTGGAGAAGGTTATATTATATGATAATGTAGTATAATTCAAGATACGGAGCGGAATGCCCGTGTGCTAACATGTTTACTTCAAGTGCAGAAAAGTAGGACACTAAACATTCACTTCATTCAGAATTTGTCGTGAATTCCTATTCATAGCAAGTCATCAAAGAAATTAAATTCATTTAGATATGGGTTCCATATAATCGCATGCATATTTTTTTCTCGTTTTTCAAGGAGGCTCTGCTATACTTATAAAGTATATATAACCTGTATAAAGATGTAGACACAAATGATGATAATCCAAACCACGAAGCCCAGATTTATGTTTAGAAAATCTGGGCAACTAAACCGATTGAGTATTAGTAAATTAACAATAGTACACATTCTGAAAAGTGAATCGTACTCAGAATAAACAAGCACAGGTCATTTAAATATAGAGGCTTGTGGAATCAATGATCCCTGTTTGCATAGTCCTTGAGTTTTACTGTGAAGCATGCATGTACATAAAATTACACACCATATACACATAATAGCATGTCTATCATACGATAATCAAACAATCTTCGCCTGAAGTTTTGTTCACATTTCGAAATTAAGACATCATCAAAAGGCCGTAAAACAGACGAGTTGTCCATAAATTGCTGAAACATTGTTTGAGTTTATTTGGAATAAAGTTCACAGTTCCTTATAAAATATAATGACAGGTTGTCTTGGGAAGCAATGGGGTAGGTCTTGCATTTCTTTGGAGACAGATGAGAAGGGTTGCTTTTCGTGCTTTCTTGGTCGTGAACCTGAGATTTGTAGTCCTGTGTACAATCCTTGAACTTTTTTGAAGACAAATCTAAAAAGTAGTTGCTCAGGTTCGCCTCTGAATTTACATTTTCAATTCCAGATTCTTTAATCCGGGGATAAATCTTTGAATTCTTAAAAGGTGGTTTCGTGTAATGACTCTTCTTGCTTTGTGAATTGTGATCATGACACAGTGTCAAACTGTCACCAGAACAGCCCGTGTTGCCATTATTTAGAGCTATAAATAAAGAGTTCCTTTCCGTACCAATCGACACAGATTTGTACATCCCGATCCTTCAGTTTGGGAATAACTCTTCAAGGTTCATTGAGAAAAGGACGAAAAACTCTTTTTTCTTTCATCTTTCTTGTTTTTGACAGAATCGGTTTCCTTGTCTTGAGTGTGGACTTCACAGTTTCTGAAAGATAATTTTAAGGGGTGGATGTGTATATGTTCACGGTCATCCGATGCAGCAAACCATCTGTCAGACAACGTGGTTATCGCATTTGACATTACAGAGCGTTCTGTCTGATTCCCGTTTAGAGGTTTCTTGGTTGATGATGACTTATGTGAAGTGTTTTGGAGTGACCTCATAGCTTCCTTATTATGGATATGATTTTGGTCACGTCCTGTGAGTAGCTTATTTGGATCATTTTGGATTATCTGCTTGATAAGTGATCTGCAACTGATTATTTCCATTAAACATATACCGATCATAAAACCAGGAAATGAAAACGAGGTTAATAATGGTCCTAAGATATATAAAGAAGGTGGCAACTCTTTGTTAGCTGGAACAGAATTGTTGCCAATAAGAATTAATTCACCTGCAATCAGTAATGTCAGACTTAACATAACGACATAACCACCAATCTTCATTTTTCTATTCTGCCATTTTCTCCAATTAAATATGCGTTGATCTTGACAACTTGGTTTTATAAGGTATTTCTTTCCAGACATGACTCTTCTTTTCGAAATATTAATAGTATTTCAATTCTGGAATCACCGTTGTCTCAACAATTCTCGACCACCACAAACTCGGCCAGGGGAATCATTTTGCCATGATGGTCTATAATATTTCTTTAAGGTTAACAAATGATAAAACAGAACCTGTTTGTAACTTAACCAATAAAGTCTACCACAGACCAGACGTCATCCAAAAGGATACTATTGTTTGTTGTTTGTAAATGGAGTAATCGGTTGCTGCTCCACCTTCACCGCCCGTTAGCAAACCTTCCGAGAGTTCCGAAACAGAAAGAAAATGTTCTGCAATATTTGAGTTTGTCCTATGCAAAATAGTACCAGTTGCATCTATATGTCGTTTACTTATTACCGTCATATGCGTTATTTGCGTATGCCCGTCTTCATTAGCCCAATCGGAGCAGAACCTAGGACGTTAAACCTCATTTCATTTCGTTTTTCCAATATCAGACTGTTATTATTATGGTGGTTGTGGTAATGCTAAAACTTTAAACCTGGATTTTAGCAGCCGAAAGTTACTGGGTTTAATGAATTATACCTCTTTGTCCCACCATGAGCTATTTCGAGTGTTTGGAAAGATTAAAAATACCTTATGTAAGCCATTCTTGCTATAATAGTTCGAAAATAGATAATGTAAAATGAATAATTGCTCTATTGCGAGCGAAGATATTAGCCTTTGAAGGTTTGTCAAGACGTTTGCAATTATTTCAACCACGGTACTGGTTGTTCGAAGCTAATATCGGAGAAATATAATGCAATCGAGAATTGAATATGGAGTGGATCAGTTAACTAATGTCTAATTAATAATTTAGATGACATTTCGGGCCTAAATAAAGACCCACAATAGGCAGATTTAGCCCTTGCATAATGGATGTTTAAGTGGATGTAGGCGTGTTTGCATATTTGCTTATTATGGCAACGGTGGAACACAAAGTCGGTTATTTCTCTACACGGGCGTACATTTTTTAACGATACAGATTGTTATTAAAAAAAAAAACAAAAAAAAAAACAAATCAAACGAAATTAATAATTCATTTTTGGCCCAACTTTAGTTAAGAGCCACCTTATTATCCGTGTAATGAAATCCTTGTACGGCATTTAGTAACTGAACATACGATATAAAACACAAATTTATATGGAAAACAATCACTGAGTTTATTCCACACTACGTTTTAACAAGTTCCTCTTGTCGTTCTCAAGTAAGTAATGACAAGAGGAACTTGTTGAAACGTAGTGTGAAATAAACCCAGTGATTGTTTTCCATATAAATTTGTGTTTTATATCCGTGTAATGTGTTGT